TGGCAGTAAAATAAGCAGAAACATACAAGTACTATTCAAGTAGGGGGCAGGGAAAACTCAGGGTTTTTGGTTAACCATAAGTTTAATTTTAACCTAGTGTTAAAAACAACAGCAAATAATAATAATAATAACAACAATAATAATAATAAAAAGGAACCTGTGGCTATAATTGCAATAACAACAACAAAAAAAAGCCATTGGTGTTGAAGCATCTGGTAGGTGGCAATCCAGAACAAAGTGCTTTATTTATATCATCTCTGTTGACATGCATGATACCCCCAAGTATACTGAACCCCCACTGGGGTTCAGCTTCCTGTGTACCATGTGATTCTTACCTCTGCCTCTGTCTGAGCTGCCTATCTCCTGCACCTCAAATCCCACATCTACTTCCTGAATTCATCTAGTGGTTGAATACCTTCATTTTTAACTCCCCATCTTCAGAAAGTCTCCCCTGGCTTCCCTGGGAAGGTAAGGTTTGTAATTACTTGCCTGACTCCCTGACTAGCTATAAGCTCCCTGTAGGTAGGGATTGGCCTCCTTGTCTCTGTTTCTTGATTAAATGGTTTTTTTCTTTTTTTTTTTTTTAGTACTTTATTTTTTTTTTCATTTTTCTTTTATTATTCATATGTGCATACAAGGCTCGGTTCATTTCTCCCCCCTGCCCCCACCCCCTCCCTTACCACACACTCCGCCCCCTCCCACTCCCCCCCCTCAATACCCAGCAGAAACTATTTTGCCCTTATCTCTAATTTTGTTGTAGAAAGAGTATAAGCAATAATAGGAAGGAACAAGGGGTTTTGCTGGTTGAGATAACAGCAAGGGGTTTTGTTTGTTTGTTTTGAATGGGTTTTTTGTTTGTTTGGGGTTTTTTTTGGCAGTGCTGGGGTTTAAACTCAGGGCCCCATGCTTGCTACTACTTGAGCCATGCCTCCAGCCCTTTTCTGCTTTTAGTTATTTTTCAAGTTGGGTCTTGTGTTTTTGCCTGAGTCCAGCCTCAGATCACAGTCATCCTACCTGTGGTCTCCTGTGGAGTTGGGGACACAAGCACAGGCAGCCATACTCATCTTACTGGTTGAAATGAGGTCTCACTAACTTTTTGCCCAGGTTAGCCTTGAGCTATGATCCTCCCAGTCTTTGCCTCTAAGTATCTGGGATTGTAGACCTGAGCCACTGTGCCCAGCCAGTTAAATGTTCCTTGACTCACTGGCATCAGTGTTTGTCAGACTAAGGCTAAGATATTGTGTCCAATTTTTCAGACACAAGAGAGAATGTGACAAATTGGGGACTGGATAGAGGAGAGTTATGGGATGGCAAAGGGACTGGTAGCTTTGTCATAGAATAATGGATGGAAGCACCATGATGTGCCTTTGGTTGTCCAGTGGATAGTCACAAGCTGTCCAGAACATCCTCTGTGATTGGAGAAGAGTGAGTGGAATATCACTCAGAACATGGAGGCTTGTCTAAATGAAAGCCGTTTGACAACCAGCAGGATGCTTTGAAGAGTAATATGTTCAGTTCCCTGTTGTTCAAAAGCTCAATGTACAATTGTCAGGGCTGCTTTACTAGACTTAAGGCAGGATTAGATGAGATCATCCAGGGTTCTTTTCTGCTCTGAGAGTCTCTGTCAGCATCTGCTAGGTATCTGCTGTGTGCCAGATTCTAGAGCACAGCAGAGAATGGAACAAGTGTGTTCCTGTCCTTGTGGAAACTGTACTGTAGCAGTGCTTCATTTTGAGTCTTCCAAGAAGCAAACACCAAGACCATTCAGCGAATTAACATGTAAAAGATTTATTGGGAAATCTTGGTGGAAGGTGAAGGGAGTAGGAGGAGGCAGGGAGAATCTGAAGTCTCGATGCAGAGGACAAGGAGGAGGAGCAGAAGCATCTCACAGTGTAATGCAGCTCTGAGAAAGTCTGGGCCAGGCTACTGATAGTCCCTATGCCAAAACTTCCCCTAAGGAAGTTTTGCTTCCCATATTGGACAGGCATGGATTGGCACTGATACCCCTACCGTGTTCAGTCAGTGGCTGGGAGTGGCCTGGGAAACACACAGCCTCTGTGCACATGCTGGCCACTTTTGGTCTGCTCTGCTTCCATAATGGGCTCTCCTGAAGGAGGTTGAAGGTCACGCTTCCATAGCTGCCCATGGACTTTAGAAAGCATTGCCCTTGCCCTATCACATAGTGTCTTCCTGGACATGGTCCTCCCAGAATCATTACAAGGGCTTCATGTTCACATGCCAGTAAGTGATGGAGCTGGGATTCCAATTCAGATCCTTGTGATATAATAATATCTTGCTTTGCTTTGTTGACTGATATCATGCTGTCTCTGTCTCTGTCTCTCTCTCTCTCTCTCTCTCTCTCTCTCTCTCTCGTACTGGTGTTTGAACTCCAGACCTTACACTTGCTAGGCAGGTGTTTTATAACTTGAGCCATTCCAGGAATCCCTTACCATGCTGTATCTCAGTATTCCTCCAGCTCCTGAGAACTATCTGGAACACACATCAACTTGCCCATTGTCACAGTGAGCAACTGAGTATATCATTTAAGAGTAAACAACAAAACTTAACCCATAACTCAATTTATGATTAGTTTATATTGGGATGAGACTATGACTTGAACCAAGGCCTGACTGATTCTGTGCAGTTTACTCTGATTTCTACTAAAGTTCATGACAGACTTAGCCAGGGGAGGAGCAAGTCCTCCTAAGCTGCTTTCTTAAAAGATACAGTATTCTGGGCTCTGAAACACAGAAACCTACCTACTGTCCTTTAAGTGTCCATGCGATGAGTGACGTGCCATGCAGAAGAAAGATGCAGCACACTGCAAACCACAGCCCTTGCTTGCAGTTCGTTCCTAGTACGGCTTTAGCCATCCTGAGCCCTCAGCACCAGGCTTGGGAGGCTGGCTGATAACAGGCTGCCCTAGACGACTTAGCCCCAGGGCAAGAGCCAAGTGGGTCATGGCAAGATTGAGACCTAGCACTGGCACTTCACAGTCATAATTATGCATGGGAATTCCTCTCAAGTAAAAAGGGAAAGGCCCTCGTCAGGGTACTCTACCCAGCAGTACTGTTAGGATGGTAAGAGGCTACACACTGCATCATCCACGATATTCGCGCAACAGAGGAGGTCCTAAGGAAGCTCAGCCCTCTGCGGTGCTTAGGAACTAACTACATTGGCCAAGTTTAGGTCTCCAAATCACTGAGAACTAAGTTTATAAAAACCACTATTTCTTGCTGGGCGCCCGTGGCTCACACCTGTAATCCTAGCTACTCAGGAGGCAGAGATCAGGAGGATCACAGTTTGAAGCCAGCCTGGGCAAATAGTTTGTGAGAATCTATCTCGAAAAACCCTTCACAGAAAAGGGCAGGTGGAGTGACTCAAGGTGTAGGCCCTGAGTTCAAATTCTAGTACCGCAAAAAAAAAAAAACCCAAAACACTATTTCTGTCACCCAGGAGCCACAGAGCAGGATATAGGGATCTAGGAATCTAATCCAAGTATTTTGGTTCCCTGCCATCTTTGTTTTGGTTTTTGTTTGTTTGTTTGTTTGTTTGTGGGACTAGGGTTTGAACTCCTGGCCTTGTGTTTGCCAGGCAAGTGGTCTACCACTTGAGCCAAACCCCCAGGCATTTTTGCTTTAGATATTTCTCAAATTGGATATCGTATTTATGTTCTGGCCACCCTGGACTGCTATTCTCCTATTTATGTTTCCCACATAGCTGGGATGATGGGCACGTGCCACTCCACCCAGCTTTCATTGATTGAGATGGGGTGTCAAGAACTTTTTTGCTCCAGCTGGGATTGAACTACAATCCTCACAATCTCCAAAATCTTCACAAGCTCCACCTCTAGAGTGATGGATCATGATCCACCCCACACCTGGAAATTCCCTGCCTTTTTAAATATGGTAACATGAACATAATGTGGTTTTTTCTTGACTGCTTGACTTCGTTATTATTATTATCTATTATTGTACATACTTAGCTTTTGTATTATTGCTCTCAAATAGTTGGGTTTTAATCTTGTTTGTAGCTCATCATTGTCTTTATACGGCCTCCCTTTATGATAACTGCTGCTCTCCATTCTTGTCTATGTGTCTACCTTTAATAACCACATCTGACCTTTTTCAATTTGGAAATCCTAATATACTAGAGACTGAGACTATGTTTAAAATTATTGGGTTTATATGTAAATGGAGAGCCAGCAGGCTCTGAAAGACAGCCTCTAAATATGATTGCAGGCCTTTTAGTGTATTAGTTTTAAGTGATGACATTTTGCCTCTCCAGGAGCTACTGCTTCCCTAATTTTCTGTTGTATTCTTAACAGAGGAGGTTGCTTTGCTAGGTAAATGTCTTTAACAAAGTGAAATGAAGCCATCTGTGTATTTTGATGTATTGCTGCTCTGTTCTTAGATCATCTAACCACTTCATTGTGTGCATAGCCTATCTGATGCTACCCTGTCGTGTATCATAATGCCATAAATTGAGCATTTTTGTTAAAAGCTGCAAAAAATATTCTTCATATGGTGTGCTCTAGAGTAGGACAGAACTGGTTGGAAACCCCAAATTTCATCACTGACTGCCTATGTGAACTTGTGTAAATCTTTGCCAGGTTCTAAGCCATTGTTTTCTCATTTATAAAATGGGGGTGACAAATTGTGCTTTAATGCACTGGTTTATTTACCACAGTACCTACAGTATTGTAGATAATTGTCAAATTATAATAATTCCTGTGTCATTCAAGTGTCTTTAGCAAAGCTGAGTGTCTTTTCTCATTTACTCACAGTTTTGGCACAGAACCTCCTCCCCACTCTTCATGGTTATTGGAGAATAAAATTCTTCACCTCACTGGGCAGCCCTACTATAGACAGTTGGAAGATTTGGTAGTTAGAGAACTTCTTTATGTCCAGCAGCCTGTTTTTTGGCCTATGATTTAGAGAAGGGTAGAGTCAGCTCCCATCCACCATAGCTGACACTGAAGTTTTTTTCTCTATATATAGCGAACAAAGTATCTGCCAAGCCCGGGCTTCCGTGATGGTCTACGATGACACCAGTAAGAAATGGGTACCAATCAAGCCTGGCCAGCAGGGATTCAGCCGAATCAACATCTACCACAACACTGCCAGCAACACCTTCAGAGTCGTTGGAGTCAAGCTACAGGATCAGCAGGTGAGTCACCGATCACATCCCTGTATTGTTCACCTCCCCACATGTGTTTGGGGAAAAGAAGAGGTCAATATTTGGAATCAGAGATCCGAATCCAGATTCTGACTCTGTTGCCTCATACTCCAAGGTATGAGACCATAAGTAAACTGTCTTTTCTGAACTTCAAGTTTTCACATTGATCATGTGGAGACAATAATCTAATCCTGCCTACTTCACTGTGTTATTGTCAGGTTATAACAAAATAAAAGATGTGAATATCTTTGAAAAATATAGTACACAGATGTTTTAGTCTTATTCCCCATTTACATATCCATAGATAAGATTGCTATTTAGATTTTTGGTTAGCCAGGTATGGTGGCACATGTCTGTAATCCTAACATTAGGATTGTGAGTTCAAAACCAGCCTTGGCTACTTGTATATATTTATTTATCAACCACCTAAATCTTACTTTGGAAAGACTTTCAAGATGATTTGAGAACTAGTTTTATTCCTCTTCCTTATAGTACATCATAGACAGATCAGATGAGGTAGTTAGTACACCTGACAAATACCTGTGCAGATTACAAGGTAGTAAACCTTGTCTGCCCATGTCACAAATGTCTACACACATAACTAAGGCAAAGTAGTCTGACATGACACAGACTAAAATTGAGACATGAAGAAACAGGCTGTCTGCTCAACCACAGTGACCTTAGTGAGTACCTCAGTGCTCTCCTCCGTGCTCTGAGGAGAAGTTAACGTATCTGAGGTTTCAGTGTTCATGGGGAAAAAAAAAAAGCTCCTTAAACCATGTCTTCTGGCAGCTCTGTGGTCAAGCTTTGGTAAAGATAAGCAGCAGGTTACCTGTTGTCTCTGAAAGCATGAGCTTGATAGCAGTTAGAAAAGAGAGAACAGAAACTGTGGGTTCTGTTTTTGTGTGTTGCCTATTAACTGGGTTTCTGCTTTGACCAAAATAGCCCTATTAAGTTTCACATTCCATGGCTAAAGTATCATCCCCATTTCAGAGCTCCTGATAAAAGACACTGTCTAACCCTGAACTCTTAATACCTCCAGAGCCATCCCTTTCCTTTATTGACGAGCCTTAATGGTCTGAGGTTTTTCTAGAAACTTTCTAAGCTGTTTTCCTGTTCTTCTGATTAACTGGATATAGATCTCCCTTTTACAGGCACACTTGTGCCACACATTGCAGGATATATAGTTTCCTTGACCCCAATTATGGTGACAACCAAAAACATCTCACAAAAACACCTCATGGGCAGTGGAGGTCGAGGTAGAATCAGCATGGTTGAGACCCTTTGACATAAGGTCCATTAACTAGTTCCATTCCTGAATTGTGCGTTTTCTATAATTGATTGCTTCTACTGTGACAAATTTTCCATTCCCTCTTGGTTGCCCTTGAAACTCGAGAACTATAAGCTCAATAAACCTCTTTTCTTTACAAATCTATCTTGTGTCAGGAATTTTGTTATAGTAACGAAAAAGGACTAATAGCAGTGTGTTGCACTATGAGCCCATGAGGCTTGATGATAAGATTCTGAGAAGCACATTATCTATCATCAGGCATAAATTTGGATGAGATGATGCCTCAAAAGTTTTTACCAACATGTAGATTTCGTAGTTTTTAAGTCCAAGGAAATACATAGAGTCAGGAAGATAGTTCTCCACCATTAAGCTTCTTTTTTTTTTTAAGTACCCTTGCATATTTTTACTCAGAGGCTCAAAAACAACTTAGGTGGTATCTGGAGTTGCAAGGGCTTCCTCTAAAAGCTAGGAAAGGCACTTCTATTTATTCCTACACTCCCCAAAATAAAACATGTGCAAACATTATGATTATGGGCTCCTATTCAAAAAGAACAACATTTTGAAATAAGCTTATCCTTCAAAGGTGTCCAGATTAAGACCTCATGTCTCAAAGGTAAGCTGTTTGACTCCAAAAGTATCAAGATCAGTACTGTCAAGTCTCAGAAAATAGTTTTTTTAAACCTGATTATAAGAGGTTAAAAGTAAAAGATTTTAAAAGAGATAAACCTTATAAACTCCAACCAAAAAGAAATGCATATGGCTACACCAATATCAGATAGGCAATGATGAAACTGCCATATCCAAAGGCGGACATGGAGTAATGCAGATGTCCGCTGTGTTCTCTGACTGGTTGTAAGCACGGGAAACAAAGGAAGAGAACTACTAGATAGGTGTTGAGATTTTTGCTTTCAGCCAGTGAGCTCCATCTGGCAGTTCATGAGTATTGTCACCTCATGCAGATAGTCAAGTGACAGCTAGTCATATGTCATCTGCACATGTATCCAAAACACACTTCATTGGACTTTCCATCTTTAGAAGGTGATTTAGAAATACCTTTTCAAGTAGTAAAAGCAAATTTTAAAATGGTCATGGCCATCTTGCAGTTGTGCTTATTTGAATATATCCTGTAGAAATATATCCTCACAAGGCTATTCCAGTGCAACATTATTTATATTATTATCTTCATTTTACAGATAAGAAAACTGATGTAACTTGTCCAAAGTTGCTCAGCCAAAAAAGCAATAAAACCAGGATTTTAGTCCAGAACTCTTTGATTCAAAACCTTCTGCTTATTCCTTATATTTAGTACCAAATACAGAATAGTTGTAGACTGTTTGTCGTGTGTGTAGGTAACAGGTGATGGCACTTGCTGGGCAGCCTTTGGACTCCAGGTGTAAATAGAACAGAAGTGGCAGGCCCAAGAGTATGCACACAGATACCCATGTAAGCAAAGAACCCAGGGAATTTACAGAATAGTGATGTGTCCTCTTGAGAGGTGCCACTGTACTCTCCAGTCTAATGTCCTAACACCTTTCTCAGGCAAAGTCAATCCATGAGACTTCAGAGGTTAGAGATAGGACTGGAGGGAATTTAGGGAAGAAGGATTTCAATTCATTCTACTGGCAGTAAGAAGCAGCACAGAATCCTATGCTGTAGACTTGGCCTCTAAATCCAGTTCTACCATTAATTTACTGTGTAATTTTGGACAAGTCACTCATTCTCTCTGGGTCCCAATTTTCCAGCTATAAAAAGAGAGGATTAAATTGGATAATCCCTAAGGTCCTTTTAAGTTCCCTTCAGTGATCCTGCTAGCCATACTTTTCATACTCTGGATAGGCACTAGCCTCCTCCCAATTCCCATCACCCCTCAAGCCCCCTCTAAGAATGTCATCAGCCAGAAAATTCTAACCCTCAGTTTCCCAAAACATTCCCTCAAATAACTGGAGACAGTAGTCTTGATACAGCAGTCTTCTTTTCTCTTGATTTGTTATCTCTCATCCATTCTTTTTATTTTTGAATTAGAATACATTCATAAATACAAGGGGGTTTCATTGTATAATTAATAATTCCATATACTCATACAGTATACTTTGAACAAGTTTACCCCCTCCATTGTGTTCCCATTGAAATATCTTTTCAAATGGTATTTGGTGAGTTTCATTATGCTGTCTTCATATGTATATATGCAGAGTACTTTGATCCTCCTCACTCCTCAGTATCCTTTCCCCCTCCCTCTCTCCCACTGATCCCCCCCTTTTAAATCTGCCCTTACACAGTCCCTCATTTACTTTCATGTCCCATTATTAACATCATCATCATCATTTTAGGTGTAGGTTTCACAAATAAGCAAGAACATCGAAGATTTGCCCTTTTGAGCTTGTTTTATCTCACCTCAGCATGACGATATCCAGTTCCATCCATTTTCCTGCAAATGACATAACTTCATTTTTCTTTATGGCTGAGTAATATTCCATGTATATATACCCTATTTTCTTTATCCATTCATCAGTCGTTAAGCACCTTGCCTGAGTTTACTTTTTGGCTCTTGTGAAGAGAGCTACAATAAATGTGGATATATGCAGGTATCTCTCTTGTATGTTGATTTACACTCCTTCATATACATGCCCAGAAATGGTATGGCAGAGTCATAAGGTCAGACTATTTCTGGGTTTTTGAGGAATCTTCATCCTCATTTCCATAGTTGTTGCACAAGTTTACATTCCAACCAACAGTATATGAGGGTTCCTTTATCCCCACATCACTGCTAGCATTTGTTGTTACTTGCTTTCTTGATGGTTGCCAATCTGACTGGGGTGAGATGGAATCTTAGTATAGTTTAGTGTGCATTTCCTTTATTGCTAAGGATGTTAAACGCTTCTTTATGTGTTTATTAGCCATTTGTATTTCTTCTGAGAACTGTCTGTTCAATTCACTTGTCCATTTATTAATTGTATTATTTGTTCTTTTGCTCTAGGATTTTTTAAAGCTCTTTGAATTTTCTGAATATTAATCCCTTATCTGTTGAATAGCTGGCAAAGATTTTCTCATATTCTGTGGGATACCTCTTGATTCTGGTAATTTTTTTTTCTCTCAATGTATAGAAACATTTTAATTTGATGCAGTTCATTTGTCATTTCTTGCTCTTATTTCCTGGGTACTTGAAGTCCTATTCAGGAAGCCTGTGTATTCTAGAGTTTTCTCTATTCTTTTTTTCCTGAGTAGTTTCAGCTTTAGGTCTTCATGTGGCTACCTTTTATCTCAAATAAACATAAATGTCATATTGGTTTTTTTCTCTTTTCTCTTCTGCAAAATCAGAGAACAGGAGGCAGTCCTGTCTAAGGGGGAAGGTTGGCACCCATGGGAGGGGGAAGGTGGTGAGGAAAGGGGGAAGGAAGGTGAATATAGTGCAAAAAATGTACACACATGCATGTAATTGCAATAATGATACCACTTGTAACTATTCCATGAATTGGGGAGAGGGAGTTAAAAGGGAGCGGTGGAAGGGGTGAGTTCAAGTAAGATGTAGTTGATACATTGTAAGAACCTTTATAAATGCCACAATGTACCCCTACCCAGCATAACAGTAAAGGAAAAAAAAGATCTTTGACTCATCTTAAGAGTTGATTTTTGAACAGGGTGAGAGATAAGGATCTGGTTTCAGTCTTCTGCATATAGATAGCCAGTTTTCCCAGCACCATTTGTTAAAGAGGCTGTTTTCTCCTGTGTATGTTTTTTTGCTCCTTTGTCAAAGATCAGATGTCTGATGTCTGAAGATAGGTGGTTTTATTTCTAGGTCTTCTATTCTGTCCCATTGGTCTTCATGTCTTTTTTTTGTGCCAGAACCATGCTGCTTTTGTTACTATGGCTCTGTAGTATAATTTGAAGTCTAGTATTGTGATATCTCCAGCATTGCTCTTTTTGGTCATGATTACTTATGCTGTTTGGGGTCTTTTATGCTTCCATATGAATTTTAGGATTGATTTTTCTATTTTTGTGAAAAATGACATTAGGGTTTTGGTGGGCATTATATTCAATCTGTAGATTGCTTTTGGTAGAATAGCCATTTTCATGATATTAATTCTGTCAGTCCATGAATATGGGAGGTCTTTCTGTCTTCTGGTGTCTTCTTCAGTATCTTTCTTCAAGGTTTTATAGTTTTCACTGTTGAGATCTTTCACCTCCTTGGCTATTGCGAATGGGATCATTTTCCTAATTTCTTTCTCAGCCTGTTCATTGTTGACATACAGAAAAGATTTTTTTTTGGGTTTTGGGTTTTGGGTTTTTTTGGTGATACTGGGGTTTGAAGTCGGGGCTTCATGCTTGTGAGGCAGACACTCTACTGCCTACGCCATGCCTCCAGCCCTACCAATTTCTGTGTGTTGATTTTATATCCTGCTGCTTTGTTGAAAGAATTTATCAGATCTAAGAGGTTTTTTGGTGGAATCTTTAGGGTCTTTTAAATATAGAATCATATCATCTAGAAATAATTTGACTTCTTCCTTCCCTATTTGAATCTCTTTTATTTCTTTCCCTTGCCATATTGCTCTGGATAGGAATTTCAGTATTATATTGAATAAGAATAGGGAGAGTGGACACCCTTGTCTTTCCTGACTTTAGAGACCATGATTTCAGTTTTTCCTCACTTAGTATGATATTAGCTGTAGGCTTCCCATATATAACGTTTATTATGCTGAGGCATATTCCTTCTACTCCTAGTTTCTTCAGAACTTTTATCATAAAAGGCTATTGAATTTTGTTGAAGGTTTTTTCTTCATCAATTGAGAGGATCATGTGAGTTTTGGCTTTGATTTTGTTTATTTCATCCATTCTTGATATAATGCGGTTTCCAGGCCATCTCCTATTGAAAACATTTCTTTTAGCATGCTCCAGTTTGTTAATTTCTACCAAAAGTACAGAAAATAAAAAGAAAAAAACAGAACACAGAACTTTTGACATGAACTTCCTAGGGCAGAATGGAACATGTTCTTATCTCCCTCATTCTGGTCACTATGGTACTATTAATGTGTCCTCTACTGTGTGTGTGTGTGTGTGTGTATGTGTGTATGGCACTGTGGTTTGAACTCAGGGCCTCCCATTTGCTAAGCACTTTCTACCACTTGAGCCATTCCACCAGCCCTTTTTTTCCAGTGGGTTTTTTTGAGATAGGGTCTTGAGAACTATTTTCCCTGAGGCTGGCTTCAAACCCCAGTCCTCCTGATCTCTGCTTCCTGAGTGGATAGGATTACAGGTGTGAGCCAGCAGTGCCCAGCATGTCCTGTAATCTTAAGAGCTGTTTTAACTACCTCACTTTTCAGGAGAAAAACTCTAGCCCTTTTTCTTATGACCTAACTAAACTTAATCATCCCCAGCTCAGTTCTTTTGGTTTAAGTAGTGTATGCATGTGAATCTGTATTCCTAGTGCAGAGTGAGCCAGGCAGGAACCTGTGAGTAGATGTGGACCAAAATAGCTGCCTGTCACAATGTAGCAATTCAGTTACAACAGACTGCATTTCTTTAGCTGATCTGGTGTGTATACACTGTGGCTAGGTCAGTTAAGGAAGACCCAACCCACATGGCATCTGACAACATGGAATAATGCTGTTCTGGAGTTGTCCACATTTGCTATCCTGTGGCTTTACCTTATCCAGCAGCACAGCAGAGAGCAGTATGCCAGACGCCTCGTCTTAGTGCCCAGCCAACTAGCAGGGTATCTTAGCCATGTCCCTATGAATCCAAGGGTCTCCTCCTGAGCTCACTTTGATGATGGAGGGACAGTAGAGAGAGTTCTCCCCAACCTCAGCACACAGAGTCCTGGCACCTCAAAGTCAAGCGAGAACTGAGAACATCTTACACCACCTTTTCCATCGTATCCTTCACAGCTGGCCACCCAGCCTCATTCAGACTCTACCTGCAATCTTCATCTTTAGGGACCTTAACACGTCCCACTTAACATTTCCTGATAACCTGCTCTGTGCCAGGACCTATGTGAGGTACTTCACAAAAATAATCTCAATGCTATGGTGTCACACCACAGCCATGTCATGTTCTTCCCACTTCACAGACAAGAAGAGCGTTAAGGAGTAGATTCCATGACGTTAGATCATGTGACTCTGAACTAGAGGGTTAGAAAAGCAGAATGGTGGCTCCAGCCCACATTCTTCTCCAGACCTCCACTGCCATCACTGAGCACCACTTACTAAATAGAGTTCTAAAGCACTTAAAATCATTCTCTTTCAAAGGTCTAAAATAGCAGAAGTTTAGAGACCACACAGACCTGCTGTTGACTATCTGCTGTGAGCCCCTGAATGTCTTGTCTTTCCCTGATGGACCTGGCATGCTCTTGGCAGTCAGTTGATGCTGACTGATTGATTAATTGATTGATTAATAAAGGTATTAATTATATAGTATGTTTGTATAGAACATTAACTTTTTCAAGTTATCCTTTTAACTAATAGCTCATTTATTAATGCATTCTAAATACTAGACACTGTGCAGAGAGCTATGGAGACAGAGACATGAATTACAAAGACTATTGCCTTTAAGGAGCTTTATATCTAAAAGCTATAAAGTGTAGGTAAGATATGTATCATGATATGATGCTAACAGGAACTCCATGAGGTTATTTGAGGCAGTATTTTTATCCCCATTTTATCATTGGAGAAACTGAGCCCCAGAGAAGTGCAGTGACCACCTTGAGGAGAAGCCTGAACCAGAACCCAGGAAACCTGACTCCCAGCTCAGGCTTCTCATCTGGTTGTGCCTACACAGCATTATTAGTTAAATGAAATAACAAGTTTTCATACTCCACTCTTCTACAGACTATGATCTGAAAATATGCCTGATCATGCCTTCCCCTTCTGCCTAGGGGATACAGTGTCCTTGCCCCATCACAGCTCCCTCCAGCTCACTTACATTTTATTTATTTACAAATGTTTCTCTCTTTTCTTCTCCAGGTTGTAATCAATTATTCAATTGTGAAAGGGCTGAAGTACAATCAGGCCACACCAACCTTCCACCAGTGGCGAGATGCCCGCCAGGTCTACGGCTTAAACTTTGCAAGTAAGGAAGAGGCGACCACGTTCTCCAATGCAATGCTGTTTGCCCTGAACATCATGAACTCCCAAGAAGGAGGTGAGCAGGCCTTTGCCTTGGCCTGATAACAAGACCCTCTTATCTTCTTCCTGTGCTTCTGGTTTCCTAGCACTGCCACTTCTCTGAGTAATGTTATATAGGTAACATTAATTACTATTAATTAATGTTAATTAAATTATTTACTAACTATAATGTGTTAGACAGACAGCAGGTTTAGTATCTCCAAACCTAGAGCTAAGTAACAGTGTGAAGGAAGGAGAAACAAGTGACTTTTTGCCATTTGTGAGATATAGGTCTGCACTGACACACTCCTAAAGCTGTATTTCCAGATCAGTTTTACGTTGGCCATCCTGCTTCCATGTCTAACACATGTTTGACAGAATTGAGGGAACAATCAACAATTTATTCTTAAATTCAATTATTCATGTTTAACAAACATTAACTAAATACTTAGCACAAAGAACTGGCTAGGCAAGATATATAAGAAGTGAATGCAGTTCTGCCCCTCAAGGCACTTTAGAATTTTGGAGCACACAGATTCATGACTAACTATAATGTGTTGCAATAAGTGTTCTAGTAAAGATATGTGTGAGGTACTTGAGGAACACAGGCAAGGAAACAGGTAATCCTGCCCATCTGCGTCACCAGGGAAGGCTTTGACAATAATGGTAGCATTTGAGGTGGAGGCCCTGTGGGGTGAGGACTGCATGAGGCAGAGGTACTAGTGGGCATCGCAGACAGAAGAGCTGCATTTGAAGAAGTGGATGCTGGGAAAGAGCAGCATGTCTGGGGCCTTGGGTGCAGGTCAAAAGGAAGCTGGAAATGAAACTAGAAGGACTGAATGACTGTTAGATGTGGAATGGGCCTGATGCTAGACAGTGGGAATAAGGCTAAAAAAATTTTTTTGAGCAGACAGTTAAAGCAAAAAAGCAAAACTGCCTCTGGCTTTTATTGAACATTTGTGACAATAGCTTTAGAGGAAGGACTAAGACTTTGCCATTGTGGGTGTCTTAACTGCCTCAGACAGTGCTGCAGTTGGCAAGGTCTTACTTTGGTAGAGTATGATGGCTACAGACCAGCCTTGGGAATGACACTGCTCAGTTTGAGTTCTGGTTCTGCCCCATTCTAGCTAAGGACCTCTCAGGCAACTTAGCCTTTCTATGCCTTGATATCTTTATCTATAAATGGGGATATATCAGATTGCTTTTGCATTTAAATGAGATAGAAGTCACAGTGTTTAGCAGGCTGCCTGGCACACTATCATCATTCAGTATTTATTGGTATTATTGCTGCCATTATTGCTGCTCCTGCTACTACCAGAACAGAGGAGGGAAGTGGGGACACACTGTGCTCAAGGGGCTGGAGGGAGGTGGTCCTTAAAAATCTATTGAGTATGACAGATTGCAGTGCTGGAGTCCAGCTTAAACCCTGGGAGAGTGCTAGTGAGCTGAAAAAGACCATGTTTTGAGTGAGCTCCCATAGAGAGGCAGTACTTGTAGAGTGCTTTCCTGTCATGACAAGGGCTCACATTGTGAAGATTTTCTGCCTAGAATTTCGGCTTCTCACCCACAGAAGTATTGGGTGATGTGTGCAAGGCCTAAAACATTCTAGGCACCCCAAAAATATTTATTGAAAATACTGTTTTCCATCCAAGAGTCGAGCTTCATGGGAAGTGAGCTAAGTTTCATGGTTCTGCTCTGATCTCACTGCCCCTGGGATGTGGGGGTTATTTTGTCTGTACAAAAAAGGTTTAGTCAGATATCTAACACTTTGTAAACAAGTACTTAAATAAAAACTTTGTTTCATTAAATTCACCTTCATCTCCTTAGTTAATCTAGCCCTGATTTTCAGGTAAGACAGCCATGGCCTATCATGAGGAAATAATTTACCAGTGTCAGATCATAAGTCAGATTCCCACCCTGGGCCTCCTACGTCCTCTATGTATTGAATGAATGTCTTTGTTGGGGTGGGATGGGAGTGGCCAGCTGTTTTGGATGTGTGAATACAACATGAGTGTGGCCTGATTTGAAACAATCTTTAGAAGCAGCAGTTGCCAATCCTGGTTTAGTTGGCAGTGACCTCCTTTCACAGATGGAAGATCCTGGGGCCACTGAGGACTAAACTGTTTTCTTCAGCTGAGATATAAACCTACCTGCAATACCACACACAAATCTAAGCATGCAGCTTAAAGTTTTTTACCTAAGTATATCCTCAGTACCCACCACCAGATCTGATTTCAAAAAACAAAACAAACAAACAAACAAAAATAGAAGGCTCAAGCAACCACAAAGTCCACTTCCATAAGCAGAGTTGTTTTGACAATTTTTGAACTTCATGTGATCATTCAGTGTGTAAGTTATGTAGATCATATAGTTGTTTGTAACATGGGATCTTGAGTCCCACTTTCTAAAGTTGTGGAGGATTCAGGGCCCAAGGTGTGCCTAGTACCTCATTAAACACTCACACTCACATACACATGCATGGGCCTGTTGACCCAGGACTCTTAATCTTATTCTACAGTAGAAATGGGTACAGTGAAATGGTGTTTTTGCTGCCCATGGAAGACATACTCAGGCATTTGGCACTTGAAAGATGATTTTCTGATATTTTTACGTGGTACCCACGTGTTCTGTCTTCTTGCAGCAGTAGGTTTGGATATTCACTCTTCAACATTAGTCCTAACCTGGGGAACCAGAAGTCAATTTAACAGATTAAAAATATAAATGAAGTTACAGTCATGGAGTCTGGTGGTTCCAATTCTCTGGGAGGAGGAAAGAGTATAAGAGCTATCTTAGGGTTTCTTGGGTTCCAGACAGGGTCCTGGGTCCATGAATTATGTCAGACATTTAATCTCTGGCTTACTGAGGCTTTTTTCTACAGAAGTTGATGTCTAGAGGTTGTGTAGGGCAGCAGGGGGCTATCTTTCTAATGCTGGGTTCTCTTCTGAGATGGAAAGCACTCCATGTGTGGGGTGGCTCGGGGTGGGGGGGACTCCATTGTGAAACAGAATGCTGCAGCCTAGCTGTGGGGAAGCTGTATGGGTCCACTGCTGATCTCTTTACAGTGTGCCCCATAGAGCATGTGTCCCAAGGATAATTGCATAGGCTCAGAAAGGAACTTCTGTGCCCTAGTGGATGTTAAAGATGGTTAGAGTAATAAGAATCTAGGCTTTCTCCTCCAGGCCTGGCCTTTTGCTTTTCACCAGGTTACTTCTCCATCTGTCCCTTCCCTGCTGTTCTTAAGGGACAGCTCCACCATCCAAGAAGCATAGTGAGGTGAGGGCCTAGCAGCCCCACAGCAGCACTTATTGGACAAAGGAAATACTTCTTTAAACTCTAAAGTACTTAAAATTTAGCTTTCATTTCCAGTAGGCAAACAGGCCAGCTACTGTGACACATTTATTCAGATGTGGGCCTGGGGTCCAAAAAAGGAATATGTATGTCAGAATCTTCAGTGGATTTCAGACCCAAATTTAGAGCTTCTGGTTTGAAAGTCAGTGTTTTTTTTTTTTATAATTTCACACCTCCAAGGGTCAGGGGAAGATGGATAAGCCGTGAGCCCTGGCATCTTCTCACTTTGGGGATCAGGGCTTGGATGGGACAGTGAGCATGGTTCATGGCAGGGTTTCTGCATCTCACAGGAGAATGACCAAGGACACAGGCTTCAAGATCAGTGGTCTGCCTAGTTGTTGCCTCTTGTACTTGCTGATACCACCTCCAGAAAGCCCTTACTTAGATGCCGTCTGCCCACATTGTCAGTGGGAGCACTCCTTCATCTAGTCAAAGCCTGCTAGACGCTAGCAGCTGCTGTCCCACACCCAGCCCAGCTCAGTTTCCCTCCCCGCCTCCAATTTACTGTCTTAGCAGGTATCAGTTCATGGTTTAGGAACCTTATAAAGACTAGTCTTCTATACTTTAATATGATTTAGCCACTGATTCCCTCCCTTTCTATATGGCCTCTAACAGATCACTTCTCTGTGGCCCTTAGTTTCTCCATTCTTGAAAGAGTGGGTTTTGACTTGATCTAGATCTCTACAAGTCTTTCCTGCTTACGGTTTATAGTTTTAAGTACGTTATTTAGACTGGAGTGAATTTTAGTTAACTGCAAACATTGCCATTATCATCATTGCTAGGAGGAAACAAAATCCTGTGAAGAAACTAGAACAGCTTAAGGCCCTGCTTTATCTAGGGAAAAATACCTGAAATTCTGTAACCCAGAGCTAATTGTTACTAACGCTATCTTTCCAGATACTTTTGTGTTCATACATGAATGAGTGTTCCCCAAACATATTCTATATGTACCATCCTATAATCTACTGTGACATAAGAAATACATATCTGGGTCTGGCCTCTGCCCTGGTTCCTGACTCAGAGCTTCTAAAACCCCTGTAACTTCCTGAGTGATAGGAACTTCTTTTATTATAATACCTTATCTTTATCTTAGCTTCCACTTCCTATTAAAAGAGCTCCTAAGACCCTGAGAATTCTTGGAGCAGTAAGAGTGCCTTTTTAGGACTAGGGGTGTAACTGAGTGGTAGAGCCCATGCCTAGCATGTGTGAAGCCTGGGTTTAATCCTCAGGACCACAAAAAAAGAGGGTCTTTTGTAAGTTAGTGAGATGACTGGTGGCTGGAAACTCTAAATACCTGTAGAAATCAGCCCATACCCTGGCCTTGGGGAAGGAAGAGAGGCTGGGGATTGGGTCAATCACCAAGGGCCAGTATGTAATCATGCCTACCTTATGGAACCTTCTTAAGAACCTAAACAAAGGGGGTCAGAGAGTTTCTGAGTTAGGGGACACAGCCATGTGCCTGGAGAGTGATGCACCCCATTCTGCAGGGACAGAAGTCCTGCTCTGGAGGCCCTTCTATAACTTACCCTGTGACCTCCATCTGGCTGTTTGCCTGTCCTTTATAATAAGCATGGTTTCTGCCTGAGTTATGTGAATTATGGTGAATTGTCAAGTCTAAGAAGGAGTTGTGAGAGCCCCAATTTATAGCCAAGTCAGGAAGCATGAGTAACCTGGGGACCCATTGCTTGG